GCTACGTGTAGAAACCAAGCCAAGCATATATGAACGTGGTAGCTTAGAATCGAGAACAGTTTTTTAAAGTGTACAGACCTTTTGTGTCACCCTGTATACAGTATATCCTTCCATCCAATATCCAGAACATAATGGACATGCCATTCCATGCCAATAATACGAAGGCTGTCTAATTTATTTTTCTGAAGGCAAAACGCGTTTGAACGCGACTGCTCATCTCCCACTCGCGTGTGCCTCTCTTTCTCATCCCAGGGAATTCCCGCCTGCTCCCAACCCTACGCCTGCGCTCGCGAAATCGCAGGATGGGATTCAATCGATCTGCGCAAAAGCGAGGTGGAGAGGAGCGCATGGGAATGTCGCAGTATCCCGTTCGCTCTCCGACCCGGGACTACGAGCTAAGTACTCCGTTTCGATCTTCGGTGAGCTGGCTTGGGCACACGTGGTCTCTCATGGGCTTTTCGGCTTCGGGATTTTTTTTTTCGCGCATTGGAAGTGAAGTGCGTCACGGTGAACTGTTGAGCCTGTGATGTGTCAGGTGAAAGAATTTTCAGTTTCCTCATTGAGTTTGCCTAGAACTGCGACTCTTCGAACGGGTGATATCACAAGAAAATCGCTTTTCAAACGAGAAATTCGTCGGCATCTGTCGCTATCAAGGGGGGGCTGGGGGATTTATCCACTTCATTAAATGGCTTCAATTGTTTCATCTTTCTCTGGCATTTTCTTTTTTCATTTTTACCCCAGCAGTCTTAGTGGTGTCGATTTGAAAGTCGTGCCTGCGGACTAATTATATATAGGTCAGTACATAAGATAATCCTTTGCAGCATTCTTTCTTGAAGTTATTATGTCTTTCGAAATCGCCTTTAAAAGCAATCAAGTTCAAGACCTGTCAATTTCCATGAGCTCCTTATATTATATTCTCCGAGCAATTTTAGACCCCTCAGCCCCCCCCCCCCATATAAAAACACGTATGGTATGTGTACATGCCACCCAGGCTTTATGAGGCTAAAACTTTGCCATACCATATGCTTGTAGGGCGATCTAAAAAAAAACTTTAAAAAATGTACTTTACTGTATATACTGCATATATTATCATGAGGTTTTCGGCATTTGAGAGAGGAATGACCAAGCTTCAAATTTGTGTACTTAAATTGCAAATACCTAGAGCAGTTTCGGAAATTCAAAGCACATATGAACAGCCAACAAAATCGTTTTTTGTTGCACTAGTGAGGATGGACAGGCGAAGGCTGAAGGTCGCTTTGCCGCTGGCGTCCGAGTGTGCGGTAGCGCAATTTCTCCCTTTTGCTGTTCATATGGGCTGCAGAATTCCTTAAACCGTGGAAGATATTTGACATGTGAGTAGGTGATTTTAAAGCGTGCTCGTTCCTCTTTCAAATGCAGCAAAAACGCATTAAAATATATTGTGATGGGCGTCAAGAATGGCCTCTTTTTTAACCTTGACTTGTATGGTAGAAAAGAAATTGGCAAGCAGTGACGGATACATATATTTATCTTTGGTGGGGCGGTGTTTCCCTAGTTATACCCCCCCCCCCCCCCTAATCACTGCTCTCCGTCCAATCGCATTTTTTCATTTTTCGTCTGCGGTAATAAACTTGATATGTATTTTGCAGGCCTCCATCAAAAGTAATGTGGATGCTTTTTAAAGAACTATATACTGTATATATAGGACGGAACCTGGCCATAGGGCCCCTCCCCCTCTCCCCTGGATCCACCATTGCTGGCAAGTGAAGTTCATACGGGACATCGGTTTTCGGCACGCACGGCAGATATTGACTCTAGGGTTACCAACTCAGTCGGACCATTACAACAAATATTTATAAGCTATCAACGCAGTAGCTCTCGTGCGCAAGGGACCCGAACCTGAATCACGAGTGGACGCTTCATATCGACTGAGGCGGGGAGGGGTGGGAGGAGGAGGAGGGGATGGGAATGGGGGGGAGCGAGAAGCCTGCTGGCGCCAAGCAAATTTAATTTCGTCCTCCATCCCGTTCTTCCTGTGAAGCGTGACGGTTGAAGCCCATGCCTGACCTGAAGAGAGTCAGTGGCTTAGGCCTAGGTCTAACCCACGAGGGGAGAGAGGGCGAGAAGGGTGAAGAAATAGGAAAAACGAGCGAAAAATGGTATTCACAATGGCTGGCAAAAGGCCACCAAGACATAAGAGAGTGATCGGATCTTTGGACACCCACGATGGGTGACAATTCCGGTCTCCAGGTCATGATGAATGGCCTCGTAAAAGGTCTGTCTTCCCAATTGTCTCCCCCTCGGCGTCGGGTATATCTCTAAGAGGAGTGCATCAGTGCTGCCAGATTTTTTTATGCTCAAGAAGCAGAGAAAATATGAGAAAGGGGTACATGCATCAAATCGCTTTAACTTAGAAACTGTACATTAAGAACACATTCATTGAAAACCTCCGAGCAGTATGTATAACGAACTCCCCACGGGCAAAAGAAGGCCATCACAGCCCGACAAATCGACAACACTGGCACCAATCTGAGCCAGCAAACTCCCGAGCCAAGTCAACTCGGTCCGCCTGCCGGACGACATGGATAATCCCCATCAGCTGTCTCATGCTTCTTCGTTCTTGTCATTTTGACGAAGGACCGGACAAATTGCTCCTATTAGCTCGTCCAGGACCAGAAAGGACAACTTTTAATCCACGAAGAAGTTTCAAGCTTTGTTTCGACTGCAGCCTTTCCTAGGAAATGGAATTCCTGGGATTCAGGTCGTTAATTATCGAGATGTCATGCTTCCCAGGATAACCTGGCTTAACTGTCACTGACTGACTGTTAACTTGACACTGATCCCAGAGTAGACAGGTTATTTAGGGTAGGGAATCTGGCTGTTCTGACTGAGTCACATTTCCTGGTAGTCCATTCATTCGTGGAGATGTATTTAATGACCGGTAATCCTGCAGGTACACCTTAATGCACTCTCAGTTGAGAAGACCGGCAAGACGGTGGAAGATGAATCCGGTAGAAAGCCTTTTGATAATTTTGGCGATCTGCTCGGTGAGGATCTGGCTTGGCTTCTTTGGCAAGGAGAATATACGTTTTCCTATTCCTTTGCGAGCCATCAAGCATGCTTTGAATATTACGATCGCGAAATAGAAGCAGGTGAGTTTGCACGTCCTCCTCACTCCAAACAGTACCAACACTCTTGTGAAAAGGAAAAAAAAATGACCCGAGCAGAAGGAAGAGTTGAGCACGCATGTCAGATGATGCTTATCCCACTAATGCATTTCGACTGAGATCTGAACCTGGGACAGTCCCAGAGCGATCCTGGGATGGACCGGTTTGCCTGGCAGCGTTTTACACAGCGAGAGGGGGTGGGAGGATTGGAGGGGGTGAAAGTCGAAGTTTCGGCTAATCTCAGAGGTTGACTATCCCAGGGCGTTTGTCATAATCATGCCCTCAACCCCTTCCATTCCTCTCCTCAAAATGCCATTCAGACCTGCGGCGGGTTCGGTTCAGTTCAGCAAGGGCAGATCATCTTGAGATACGAATAATTCAAAATGCGACTTCTCACAACACGCCACAGGTTTGCAAGTCCGCCTTTGTGGCCATTTTTGTGCCGTTCCAGTCTCGTACTTGGCTGTGACAGGCTTCGAAAGATTGTAAAAAATGGTATCGCATAGTGGTGCCGCTTGGTGCATGCCGCTTGGTCCTCTCTGAGACTGGACGGGCTATATCTCCAACTCGCTCTCTAATGTCCGGATGGCCTGTATGCGAGAACGAATGAAACTGATAAAATAGCTATTTTGGGGGGTATCGTTTTATAAGTGTGATGGGATTGATTCGTGCGCCAGATTCAGAAACATTTTATATTATCATAACGGGTACCCAAATAGCAATGGAGCGTTGGAGCGTATTTCCAAAAACAACGTGCGGTGTTAAAGTTTAATCTTGATTCCAGCACATGTCGGTTAGCATGGATGTCAGAACAGGACCTCGACTAAAACGTTAGCAATTTTCCTTCATTAAAAGGAAATTAGCCTAATATTGGTTCAGGTAGACACGTGCTCTCATGACGTACACCAATACTATGTACAAGGGTCACATTTGAACATGTAGGGGTACAGCCACTTCCATTTTATAACAAACCTTATGTATATAGAAAAGGCAAGCATTCCGAATTCTTGTAGCACTTTTACATCTTGGGTGCTTTGTAAGGTGGCTTCACCAAAACACCTCTCCGCCTCCCTCGGTATGCTTCTAATGTTTCCAAAGAAGTAGAGGGAGAAAGGGGACGACCGAACATCCCTGTGATGGTACGTTCCACTTGTCATGAAGTTGTCTTTTACCCTTTCTTCCGTCTAAACGAATTGGTCATCCCGTCCGCCCCTTGTTGGCGTCCAAGGTCTTCCTTTCTCCGTCGCTGCTCCGTCGTAACAACTTCACCCCATCATCTCCGTGAATCAGATTTGATAATCCTATTTCATGAAGTTGATTTGACTTCGGTATTTGGTCCACCACGTTACGCATTCAAGGAACGTCTATGAAGGGCGTAATGCATTGCTGATCGTACGACACCTTAATAGGGCGTCAAAAACTACTCATCTCTGAACCTTGAACTTCAAAAATCCTCTTTGAGCCTAGGGTTGATTGTTCTCCTGAACGTTCTTGTGCTAATTGGATATCATGTTAGGTATAAACATCGCTTCACTATATTATTAACCAGAGTTTGTTTATTCTGCTTATAACGAGATTGCAAGGAATTTTGCTAGCCGATAATTTACGTAAACCGTCGCAAATACTGGCGAGTTCAATGTGTCAGGCCACGGCAATTCGGGAATCAAGAACTGGACGTTCAAAAAGTTTTTTCCCCTGAGGCACTTTAAAGTAGTAATACACCATTCATATTTTTTCATAGAAAGGCAGATGTCTTTGGTGATGAATGGAAAATTTTCGACTTTTTTGTCTATGATGGAAAGCTTCTATGAATTTTTTTTCAATGTCCTACCGAGGAGTCTGTTGAAGGCGTATTAACATTGAAAAGAACGCTGTCATGAAATCCTCCGAGAGGGGATTATTGGATGTGGGCTGTAAGGAAGGGATCAGAATCCCAAACCCAGCCCCCCCCCCCCAGGATTCATCGCGGAGTCTGATTTTTCCCCTGTTTTGAAGAAATCTATTTACTTGTAATATTGCCTACATTGGTTAACCCGAGCTTGCTTATCGTCGCTGTAAAGCCTCGATGCACCTCAAGGAAGTTCAGCACGTCTGGGAACCATGCCATTAAGCAAAGATTTCGTACTTCCAGTCATTTATTCTGATTAACATTTGCCTTTTCAAGCGAGATCGTCATGCAATCATAATCTTTTTTTTTTCTCGCTCCAGCTCCAAACGAGTGGAACACAAAAGGCAAGACGGAACACGACGACCGGTCACTGACTCAATCCACGGCACTGGATACGTCTTCGAAAATTGAATCCTAGTAAAAGGTAAGTATCGATAGCAAAGACGACGATTCATTTGCCATCACTCTTTTCTCCTGGAAACCTTGTTAATTCGTGCAAATGCCAGATAGAAGGGTTGCAGATCTATCATTTCATACTAAATTCTTCAGCCGAAAATTCTACCTCGTGTACCGCGAGCCCATGGACATTTTTATTTTCATGGTCGATGTTTATTCAACGACGTCGATGACGTCATAATCAGTGATGGGAAAGTTTTATCTCTCGTTTCAAAATTGATTTTCTCCTGAAAAGAAGGAAAACAGTACGTAGGATCAAGTTTTCTCCCTTGAGAAGGGCGCATCCTTGAATGCTAAGGAATCAGCTGATTGCTCTATGCTCTATGCTCTATGCTCTATGTTCAACGGACAGGGTTTTGGATGTCTGAGCACTAATAGACGCAATTTATCTAATGAACATGAGCAATTTTTTATGGTAGACAATCCTTTTTTTCTGCACTGAGGTGTTATATGTGGAACCTTCCTTCGGTAAGCTTTCTGCTTACTTTATTCTGGTTTGAAAAACATCTATCATTTTAAGGCCGATATTTCATAGAAGAGTTAGGTGGAAGAGACCGTTAAGAACACGGAAATAATGCAGTCAATGACTTCATGAGAAAACTGAACATGTAAAAAAAAGTTTTTATAGTAGTAGAAGAGGATTCAGCGGCACCTACTTACTTCTGAAAAAAGTTTAACTCCCTAACGAAAGCTTTAATGCTTCTCCCTCATCATCTAAATCGCCAATATACTTGAAAACACCAGGAATTTAATTTTCGAGCGATTACTCCGCCTGGGAAAAAGAAGACAGAACCAGGCAGGCATGCCGTCGATTTCATGAAGTGTCAAAATGAGGCTTTTGAACCATCCGGTTACATTCCTGAAAGCATTAGTTGTGCACACGGAAGCCAATTCATTCCCATTTGCAAAGTTTTCAGTAAGTTTGGTCAGAAAATAATAAAATTACCTTCCTTGTGCCACAGATCGGGAACAGAGGATATTGGAAAATGAAGATCCCATTTGTAAAACACTGTTGCTGTGGGTTAACGGACAACAGGAACGGGAGCATCGCCATTGGAGCCCTGGGGCTGGTATGCTCAAACTTTCATTTTATTTCTTTTACTCGATCTTTCAGAGTATTTTTTGAAATTCATCGCTGGAAATTCTATAGCCCCGTGTGTTCCATAAAAACGCATGAGAGACCGTGTCAATGTTCAAAGGTGGCATTAAAATCAAAACATACACTGCTGCCCAGTCGACTAAGAGTTTTCTACTCTCGAATCGAGTCAAATAAATAACGGGCAACATGTTTCCGTGCAATTTGTGAATAAAACTATGAATCCTTTTAACTGCTTGCGGTACTTGGAGCCATTTCCATAAGTAACAATTTTGATCATTAATTACTTTCCAGTGAAAAGATGACGTAAGAATCTTCCTCTCGTGTCGTTGAATGAGCTGCAATGAGGGATGTTTGCATATGTTTGCGGTTTCTTTTAAGATTACAGACACTGCTACTGAAGGCAAGTGAATCTTTCACCTGCAGGGTGCCGAGTAGAAAACCAAAGGATTGCAATTAGCACGCCTTTAACAACGAAATGATATTTTCTATCGACAGGTATACACTTGTCATTCGCAGGGCTACAGCATCATGGATACCGCGTATTCGAAGATGTCAGGATAATCACGGTCAAGAATTTGAATATTTGTAAATCCTTTGTGAATAGTCCTGAATAAATCCTTAATAAAAAAAATAAATTCTTTGGTTTTCTATTGGGCACCCTGAAGTATGACTTCTTTGATCTGCCATAGCCAAGGTCGAGGGTTTTTATAGAATGCTCTTTAGACATGCCACTTATACAGCAAATTTTAGCTTTTTCTCGTATCTGCTACATACTTAGAGAAATCATCAGTCATTCATGCACGTGTTCTTGCAACGACCTTGAATTTTCTTTGAATTTTGGGAGAGAATTAGATTCTCTGATGGTGCTCGTACCTCGAAATTTTGTAGTAATATATTACATGATGTAGCACAATAACTAACATTCGTTTTTCGTCATCAAGAAATACATGTGTGTGTCAGCTTTCTACCATGTCTGGAAAATACATAACAATTAGTCTCACTCAATAACTAACTCTCTCAGCTAAAATCTGAAAGCGCCATAGGCTCAAGTTCAAAATAAATTAACAGGCATCAGGTTTACTTACACCGTGGAGCGTCGAAGGCGATTGTAAAGTGAAGTGGGAACAAAGTCGTTCGATGGAGAAACAGGTGAATAAGATACTTTCATTTCACGCAGCATATTGTATCTATTTTTAAATCGACCACTGTCACAACGAAATATTTGCTCTTGTCTAATATCAAATGAATATTGTATCTATGGAGAATTATATTTTTAGGACTTCCGGAATACACAAATGTAAAAACGAAAAACAATTTCATTGGAAATTTTAGAAAACTGAAATTCATCATGGTTGTGAAGGATTCAGCACAAAGTAATCAAGGCAATGACTCTCTCCTCTTGCTTTCAATGAACTGCCAATAAAATTAGAATTTGTTGTAGCGCATATTGAGTTCAAGTCGATTTGATAGCCCGATTTGGGCCAAGGGGTTTCCAATATTAAAGAGATCACTGGTCATTGACTAATCCTAATATTTACTTTCCAGGTTTGCTATATATTTTTATTCGTGATGAACGTGATCACCATGGCTCGTGGATACGAGCAGAGACCAGGAATCCACGATCACATTTCAGAAGAGGGTATGTCCTAGCTTCTGGAGCTAATCGGAAGTCTTCAGTTTCATTCATTTCGATATTAATTTTTTAACTGCGTTTGGAAGTTTATCGTTGCAAAACAGGTACGGATTATTAACTTCCATGATTTTTCTATTCATCCTCTCTTTTCCCTTCTAGCATTTACGAATCTTCTCATCTGCAGCATGGTCTTCTACCTCATGTTCATCATATTTGATTCCCTTCTCATCCATGGAGTTCGGAAGGTTTGTATCTAAGCCACTCAAAAGTTACTTATTATTTCAGACTATTCCACGAACATGAATTGTATATACGAATCAAACGCTCCTTCTAAGCATCTAATGTACTGGAAATCTGAACATGGGAACGAAGATGGAAAACTCATTTCCCATATTAAAGTGGAGCAAAGTGCACGAAACGGTATACAAAATCATTTGCTTAGTGGTTATGGCAATGCATGATGTCAAACCAAAAGTTACAAGCACCTGAACAGCATGATGCTTGAAATCAAATGACGATGTCATAGAATCTTCCATGATAATCCTTCAGGAAAATTACATCACGTTTGGAGAGATCAATTTAGGGGCAGATGGGATTCTCAATAGCTGAGGGTCTCTGCTTACTATATAACATCAAACGCTTATGTTGGCCTTAAAAATATTTATGTGGTCGAGATATGTGATAAGAATTTCATATTTCATGTTTGGAAGCGCTGATGTTGTTTCCCTCGAATGCAGCTGTCAGTTCGAGAAAGCGAATGAACACATCTACTGAGCATTGTGGCGATTCGAATACATGCTATATTTAAACGTTTCAGATGAAGAGGAAACGGATGATACCATGGATGTGTATGGATTTCCTGGCGCTGATCGCAGGTGCAATACTTTTCGTTGTCATCTTCATTTCGCTCATCGTGATACTTGTCGCGACAAATAATGTTCTCATCTTCACCTTATTCATGATTGTGGTCGTCGTTTTCTTCATTGCATATTCCATTGGAATCCACTTCTTCCTCGTCGTCTATTCTCACTTTAAGGTGAGGGGATGCCACCCTTTTGCTACGAGAAAGAGTCCAACACTATAAAAATTATCCACTCTTGTTGGGATTCATGAGTTAAAATGTTTGCGGATACGTGGGTTAAGCTAGTAAGCAAGAAGCATTTTGTTTAAATCGCCAGGGAAGCAACCGTGAGTAATTCGACCCTTGATGCCACTGTGATCAGTTCGAAGTTTTGTCCATTGGCCTCCCCATCTCTTCTAACCAAAAATTTGGAGCAAGATTTTGGCATGCCTCAATATATCCGTTGAGATAGTTTCCCTGCCGGGGGGGCTGCTGACACTAGCCAAGTGGTTGAAGTAAATCAAGCTCAACCAAGAACTTATACTCATGGTGTTTCCATTTTAATAGGCTCGCATTCTATTGAATATTAATTGCATTATATCCGATTGCGATGCTGTAGTTTATTCATTTCCGAAGAGGGAGGGAGAACTAAGGTTGGGACCATAAACTAAAGGACCATGCTACACACACTACTTCAATGCTGGATACAATAATGGCTGATATAAAAAAAAATCATTTACGATTCGTTTCCATTAAATTATTTCCCGCCTCCTATGCGGTCCATTGGTTACTGGATTACCCCTCACGTGAAAAATTTAAACTGCTGAATTGAAGAGAAGAAAAAAATAGTTGATAATTATGCGATTGCACCCTGAATATCTAGGAAATAGCTAGAAAAATGCCAAGAAGTTAACAACCTGGTGTCGAAAATGTGATCCAAGCACTTTTTTTTAAATCTTCAATCGCGCCTGCACCATTAAAACATTTTACAAAACGCGGCGGCGACATTGCTTGGTTGAAAAAGGAATCCTTGCTCAATTTCGAATTAATGTGTTTTCCCTAATGCGAACCCGCTTCAAGTGAAGAAATAATTCCAATAGTTCCGCTGTGGAATATTCAAAACATTGATTACTATCCATAATCATCATCGGAGGAGATCTATGCTCGAACTCTTTTCTTGTATTTTTTCCTCCTTACTCGGAGACTAAATCTTGATCAACCGTGTAACGCAAAGTTTTACACTGATTTTGTGAACGATATTTTTGTCATGTAACTATACCATTGACTTCAATAAAAATAAATTACGCGTAAAGCAACGGGAGGTGTACTTCTTACGTCACTGTCGTACTCTGTTTCCATTAATTTACTATGGGCTATGAAAAAGTTCGTGGACTGGTACCATAACATCGAACCATATTAAACACTGTAGTTCGTGAACGTTTCCTTTTCAAAGGATCGTCCTTAGCATGTTATGCATTTTCGAGCACGACGCAGCGGAAACTGGAATACCAAGAAGTCATTTTCTGCGACAATATGGTTTCCAGAAGTAGCGACCTTTTCCACATTATGATCTCCCAAGAGGGTATCTCTCCTGGGGATTAGAGCTAATTTTGCCTCTTTTTTGCAATATGCACTATGGCATTGCCACGAAGGAAGAATCAAAGGCCTCAAACCAACAGCGGACGCTTCTTGGGAATTGCCTCGCTAAGATCACGACGCAATATTGTCGCGGATTACGTTGCATTTACACTTGTCTCTTTTGGTACCCAGTGTAGGATACCTTGTACATCAAGAAAGGCAATGAGCACCACTTTCCCAACGATTAGCACTAAGCGAACGCTCTTGGGTGGCGGCGGTCGGACATGTGCGTACCTGGACTTGGTCGCAAAAGTTGAGTCTTCTTCCTAATGAAGACAAGTATGTCGAGCTTGTGGTTCATAATACGGTTTAAAGTCGAATTGATATATCTTTCTAGCGAAGAGCTGCGTCGAAGTTTAACTCCTTGCACTGGGAAATTAAGCTCCTTCAGTAAGAAAGCGAAGACGGCCGGTGCTCCATAATGAGGTACTTATGAAGTATCGAACACGAAATGTCACCTACATCCAGTGCTCGAAAAGGTTCCAAAGGGAATGACGGAAATAACGATAGTGACCTATTCCATTTCAGGAACTCGGGAATCCGGAGCGATTTGGAGCGATTTGGGGCGATGGAGGAGATCAAGGCGTCGAAATCAACCAGGAAATTTGGAATGTTAGTAGAGTAAAATGGGGAAGATTGACCGGTGGAGGAGGTATCTCACTATCTCTTTCTATGTAACCCTAATTTCATATGAATAAACCTCAGGTTATCATCGATTTACACGAGTACTCAGTGAATTAACATTGAATTATTGAGTGCGCGATAATTTGCATTTTCCATGCAGCGATTTTTCGATTTGAAAAATATTATGGTTTGAATCTCGCGGCATAAAATCCTATTTCAGTTGTTTCTCGTCATTACGGCTTCACATCAAGGTAATCGATAGGGTCGGATGGAAGGATCGGTTGCGCCAACGTGTTTGGACACATCATCTCCTATGAGTAATGATTGTGGTGGTTTCTTCCGTCACGCACTTCTGCTTTTACAGCCTCGGCCCCTGACGGTCAAGGACGTGATGGGGAGGGGAGTCGGGGAGAGTTCCCCATCATGTATTTATAGTTCTTTGCTCTTCTCTTTTCCCTGACACTACAATGTTTACATCCAAGGCTCCTGACAATCATTAAGCCTGTGTCGGAAGGGGGACGGGGGGGGGGGGCAGCTTGACTTTCGTGAAAGAAACTATACAAAACCTACTGACAGGATCGCCTTTCACGTACGGTACCGGACGTGTGGAGGAGGGGAAGCAGCCAAATAAGACTAGAAAATATGCATTGGTGGAAAAAAGGAAACTTTATTACAATTCACTCATTGCCAATCTCTACCTCAATAATCACGATATACGAAGAACAACGGAAAGTATTGAAAGGTATTGATAATGATGATTGCGATGTGGAAGCAATCCAAACGTGTGTTTATGAGATATATACTTTTTCAAAATCAGCATATGTTGACAGCTATGGGGAAACGGAAGGAAAACATTTACTCCATGACCATTCCCATTAGCCTAACGATGTGTGAACCAGTCCATGACCATTTCCTTCAGTCTAATGATGTGCGATCCAGACAATGTGTTAACCCTGCTCACTGCAGGGTTTGTGCAAACGAAAAAAGATTTTACTTAGAGTCAAGTTCACATCCGAGATTTCCAAATGAAACTGCATGTACGCGATTTATTTATTTATTTATTCCTAAGTGAGTGCCAGCAAAAAACCAATCTCAATAGTGTCATGAAATGATGGGGGAAGATGAGGATAATAAATATATTTCATGTTGCGGTCGAGACATCGATGAATGAGGTAGAACATGACGTGAACCCCACATGTCTTTGCGCATGAGCTCTGAACTTGAACGTCGTTGTAGACAGCCGACTTTTCCCCATGCTCGCTCCTGAATCTTTCAAAGGCATGCCAATAAATTCCTGGAAACCGACCGAGGCTATCAAAAAACTCCACATGACCCTTTTTCTCGAGGAACATTGCAGGGAAATGTCGCCCACGTTTCTCTCGACTGCAACAG